TATTAGTCTTTCGCATATGTCGAAATATTGCATGATCAACGGCGTCTACTGGTTTAGTGTTTGCAAGGAAGCTACCATCAGGCTTTCACTGCAATACTTGGTTGATTTCTTATGTTGCGGTTTCGACGGGACATCGTGTCGTTTTGCACGGAACGCGGTTCTTCTTGCTAATCGAGCTCACCGTTGACCAAAAGTTGCCCGCAAACAACTTGCTTGCTCTGCTTTCTACCATTAGCGAGTGCTGCAGTTGGTTTGATCGGCGTTCCAATTCCGGATCCTCTTGTCGTTGAACTATCTACCTAATTGCTGATAGCAATTGGACCAAAAAATACTCCTTTTAGTTTCCCATTATGTTATCTGTAGTATCTATTAGTTAATTATGACACTCGTCACAGTGGGACCTTCGACGTTCGCCCCACACCTGTGCTTCGATGCACAACAGAGCGTCCTTATTACTGACATCTGAAGTTCGTCCGTTTGTAAATATTCTGGGGACCACTTGATTTGTATCAACGGCACTTATGAGGGCTTCTGTGCCCTGCACAAAATATACGCTGGTTACACTAAAGATACTCCACATTCTGTTATTACTGACCAACTAATTTATAGACATAGAGAGCTGAATGGCCGTCTGTCATCGTTTGTCCGCCACCGGAGTCTCAATCTCTCAGTTATTGACACCCGGTGAGCACTGATATTTTGCTTCATCGGGGGGCTAACAGAATGTCATGTTCTACAGCTTGGCGTACTCGGTAAACACCGTAATATTGTTTTCCGCCTCAGTGGACGTGACATCATTAATCACTATTAGGTGTCATTTAGGTCATGGGGTCGTCGTATTGATCTGTCAACTACAGCGTTAGCTCGGCATCAGTTAATGTAGCTCCTATTCCTGCCCACCTTTTCCCTTTCTGGTGCCTTTGCAACCACCTGTGTACGCCCTGTCTTACAGTCGAAGTCACGAGTTGTTTGCTCGTGCAGAAAAGCCATCTTTCACGACTCCTCTGCCGCACGAGGTCGCGCTTTGCCTATGTGCTCTCGAAACTCTCGTGTCACATTTTGTTTGCTTTACTAACC